ATCCTTTGAAAATCAAAACCACCCGATGATCTAGGGAGTTGATTATGGGCTTGGCATGTGAATAAATGTCTAATTAAAAATGATTTATATAACATTTGAGGGCAAACAAAAGATCTGCATTATACAGATTTAGCTCTTACATAATGCATCTTTAGAAGACCTTAAAATTCATTAAAATGCATTAAAATTATACTTTAAATCGTTATGAAAATGCTATGCTTCTCTTCACATCAATAGATAACTAGATTTTAAAATAATGATTGTAAATTGTCAATTTATTGAAAGCGTTGAGAAACGATCTATTCCGTCTGGACTACCGCCGATAATGAATAACGAAAATACGCCATAAAGCGACTCGATTCGTTACTTATCATTGAAAATGGCTGGATTTATGTCCGGGTGATTATATAAGATTCAATGTAAGGGGTTTATAGTTACTATTTATTTGTCTCGACCATCAAATGAAAATCCATATGGCGCTCCGATGACTTTAAATAATCAAAATAGCTTCTAGATTTTACAAATTAAGCCAACATATATGTCGATTAAGATACATTTAAAACTTTGATAAATCATAGTCACGGGTTAAATAAATGGTGCTGGAGTATTTGTAGACTGAAAATGCGCCACATAGAAGTTTTAAAATTTAGTGATATGGATCATCCCCTAGAACTGATCATTTGAAATCAATAAGAGGTTGGGTTGCCGAATGGTTAAAGTTGTGTCATCAGGTCAGGTAGTGTGGTTTTGATTCCCCGCGCTTGAAAAGGAGTAGGGTCACATTTCCCTCATCGTTGGTTTTCTACGGGCCCCCTACTCGCCCGCTCTCCCACTCTCTAGCGTGCACGTAAAAAAAACCTCTTGATTCTTGAAATTTGAAATAAGAGTAGACTGTAGCGCCGCTGTCTGCTCAAAATTTTCTTCATAGCACACTGTATGGCGTACACCCGTCGCCATTAGCGCAGTTGATGCAGAAAAGTATCACGTTAAAATCCATTTCATTTCATTTCTAAAATGAGGATTGATTTTTTGATGACTCCGATTTTCTGCTATATTTAACATCAATACGGTCGTGGGTTCGATAGTTTGTAGCAGTTTATGCCAATTAATTAAGAAACTAATTATAAGTTATCGATATAGGTAATTACATGGAACTACATTTTTTAATTTACATGTATATGAATAAATTACACGGACAATTTCAAATTATGCCTTTCATTTTGTGCAGGAAGGTTGAAATTCTGGTAATTTCTAAAAATCGAAGAATTGATTTTCAGAAAATATATTAAAGTTTGGAAAAAAATACCTCATTAAGAGGCAGAAATAGGTTGATTTCTTTGGTGCAGAGCTAATGAAATATTGAAATAATCATTTTTCGTTACGGTTCGTAAAGTTATGATTACTTTATACATATCAATATCCATGTTTGAGGTTGTCGCGCGCTCTGTTCATCTTAAGGACTTTAATGGGAAACCATATAGAATATCGGGACATTCTGATTACATTTTTTTGAATATAAAGATTTAAAGAGAGAGAGAAAATAAAGTAAATGTTCAAAAATAGCATCTGTTATCATAAAAGAAACCGGATATGGCGGGGCTAATGAAGACGGGCATACGCCAAACAGTGTGCTATGAGGGACATTTTGCCCGGGCAGCGGCACTATGACCTACTCTTATATCGAATTCCAAATGCCAAGGGATCTTTTACGTGCACGCCAATGTGTAAACGGAACCCCGGTTTGTCGTCTCATCCGAACGACTAGACAGCTGTCCTTGTCAGGCCATCTGTTCTGCACCACTGACAAGGGGAAACCACGTCGGAAAAGCGTGTAGTTTAGATCGTAGGGTCTGTTATTGAGCATTCAGTCAGATGACATGATTTCGATCCTACACTTAGTACGTGACGAGGAGTAGAGTCGCCTGACCAACCTCGTGGATTTTCTACGGGTTCTCCGGTTTCCCCACACTGCGAAATATTGAACTGAAATCATATATGTTAGTCCAGAAATAACCAAGTGTGTGTGTGTGTGAATGGACGTTAAACCCCATCTCTGTCTCTATCTGTCTCTCTCTGTCTCTCCCTCCCCACCCCTCTCTCTCTTTAAAATACCAAAGATCATTACAGCATATATTAAGGTATAAGGAATCTTATCCTGCATCTGTTTTGAGTTTCTATAAATATATGACGTATCAGTTACATTAACCACTAAATACATTATACGTATTAATGATTCAATTACTATTAATTTACCTACCTTTTTATATTTGCTTCAAGAATATGTCAAGAATTTAGTAATAGAACATGTGAGACATGGCCTAATAGAAGAAAAATAATGCCAGCGAGGCAATTGAGTAAGCATAGCTTACCCCGTGAATGCACCGACTGAGCTAATGAAAACGGGAATACGACATACAATGTGCTATGAGGGCAATTTTGCCTTGGCAGCGGCGCTATGACTTACTCTTATTTCGATTTCCAACTGCCAAAGGTTCTTTTATCATGATACGAGGAAAAAGTGCTTTTAATTATTCCACGTGCTTCCTCTAGGACACCTAACTCTAACTTTTAAATAATTTAAGCAGAATTTTAAACTAAATAAACTCATAATTCGTGTTATTGTAGTCAAGCTAATGTTAACATTTGTTGATATTATAAGATAAATAAGGCTGTGGTGCCAAAACATATATTAATTGATTGAGCATTTTTAATTTGTGTGCGGATTGGGTGGTCCAGTTGTCTAACATGTGTTTTTTAGATCACAAAGTCTGTCACTGAGTCAAGTGGCAGGGTTTCGATTCTCCGCTTATAATACGTGACAAGGGTAGGGTCGCCTGTGTTTTCTCTGGGTCACACGGTTTCCTCCCACGCTAAAGACACCTACGCGCAAACGAATTATTGAAGTAAAATTGAACGACATGTTAGTCCCTAAACGACTTAGTTTCTCTCTCTCTCTCTCTCTCTCTCTCTCTCTTCTTAATCATATGGTATATAAGTAATGTTATCATTTATTAAAATACACGCCAATACTGACACGTTGTAAGTTGGTGCCTTAAACATGTCTAAATTCCAGGAAAATATCAGACAATGTTTGACCTTTTCAAACTACGTTGTACTCCACCCAACAAAATCCTGGGGTTCAATTAATAAGAGCAATGCACTCTTATTAATATACCTAGAAAATAATTCTCCGGAGTTTCTGATTTACTACTATGAAAGGAAACGGGTTTTACGTCCTACTTTTCTGCACTAACCTGGATAATGAAGGCGGACATACGTCATACAGTGTGCTTGGAGGGAATTCTTTTTTCTGGACAATGGCGAAACGGCCTGCACTTATATTGAATTCAAATGATCAAGGTTCTTTTATGGGTATATGTGACCTCAATTTGTCGTCCTATCTAAACGACTAGTTCCTCCAACCTGCACCGCTGACACGGAGAAGCCACGCCGGAAATTCCGAGGAGAGTTCTCCGTCATCATCGTGAGCAAACAAGAGACCTTCTGGTCGTACTCACTGAGCCAGTCGTACTCCACAAACTAGATATAGATATAACTTACTGACCAAACAGTTTCGGGTTCGATTCCGGGCTGTCTAAAAAAATCGTTCCTTGTCGGTGATGCAAGAAAAAGCGCCCATGATTCCCTGACTGTTGGTAATCGGTGCGCTACGATAGGCTTGTCCCTATTGAGTCCACGATCTGGTACGTGCAGATTCGTTCTGATATGTTTCGATACAATCAACACGATTGCTACGGCTGACCACCATATATGATAAGACTGATAGGATCACCACGATAACTCCACGATTAAAACACCACGATTTCAATCGTATCGCGAATCGTGATAATGGGAACCTGACATTACCCATAGTACACTGTATGACGTCTGTCAGTCAGTCTTCGTTAGCCCGGTTGGTTAGCGAAAAGTAAGCCGTTTCATTTCATTTTATTTTATCAGAAAGTTTCTTTATCACATAGTAGCCATTTTAATTTTCCTTTCAATAACAAAAAACAATCGGTTTGATTTTTTTCCTTAATTTCCTTGTTTATTCAAATTAGGGTTGTTTATACCAAAACAAAGGCCAGAATTATGTTCTAATCGGAAAAATCACTTATTAAACTTGGATTAAAATGTTCCAAATTGCGTGCAGCATGAGTTAAAAAAGGGAATAGATCGATATGAAACTAAAATACAGATCTTATTCCGCTAGATGTAGACTGGATAATTTACGGGGTGGAGATTAGATTTTAGTTAGAAATATAAATCAATAAATCAGTATTTTAAAGATACTAATCCAACAATAAACCATTATTTTAAAGTAGCTAAGTCTCTAACTCAATATCATACAAAGTCTTCGACATTGAAAACACGAATTAATTGTCAATTTAAATCAACATTGATGTTGTGATCTTACCGGGAAAAGATGGGCTTCTGATATCCAATATTTAAGACAAAAGAAACATTTTACCTTTGGTACACGAATCGTGTACCATGCATGCGTTTCAGCGCCAGTTGTAAACAAGTGACTCGAAGAACGAATCTAGACATATTCCACTAGTCATGTCAAATTGTGACGCCATATTCTTATCTGGAGAGCATGCGCAATAAATACTATTGGTGTAGACTGGAATAACCAGACGCTAGCGATTATTGTCATTCGATCGAAATTCCTGGCGTATTTCGCCGAAGATAACTGATTTGGAATTAGAATAAAAACGGAAACGATTGAATGTGAATCAGTTTATATACATTCATATTGCATTATTATAGGCGCTGCGACCCATTTGTGTCAATTTCTAGGTCCCAAACATTAGCGATTTAGCTCCTTTAAAAGATACTGGTTAAATAAATGATACATATATCCAAATGTCTATAAAAAAAAAAAGCTGTGAACTTAAAAACAACCTCGCCCCGCTGATCAATTTGGAGATTTGTTTGTAAACCATTTCTGTTGTAAACGCCCCATATTCACTTGAACCGTATTCTATTTTTTTCAGTTGTTGAATATTGGATATTATGCAATATTGACCAGACAGTGTAATGCGAGAGGAATGACCACGCATAAATCAACTACATCTTCCAGAAACAATAGACCATACAGCAGAAACAGTGCACTTTCAAAATGGCGGCCTCGTACTCCTTTTGTAGAACTCCCCGTTTAATTCTGTTATTGAGTACAATGGTGAATATACATAGCAGATTTGGAATCAGGAATTAGACTTATATTAAAAGGCAATAAAATTTGTGGAAATAATAAGTGAATATAAAGTCTTGGATTCTACTCGAAGTTCTTTTGTGGTTTGTGTTTATGATTGGAAAAGAGTCTTGCCGTCCGGGTTCCTTTTATAAAATGATGATGCCTCCCAATATCAGGTGTGGTTCAAGGAAGGATAGCGCCATTAGGGTAAGACATATTTTAATGTTCATCCTGTTTTTTTTTTTTAAAAAATACGATTGAAAGACAACAATGTTATTATCTACAACTAGGGAAATAGAATTAATGAAAAATTCTTCTTGGAATCAAAGATTAACTGAGCAGGTATATGATTGTCAAAATTCATCATTATTTCCTCGTATATAATCATTATTTCTGTATCGGTAGTTCAGTATATTCCGTCCAATATTTTTCTTGTATGCTGTCTTTCAGAAATGACCATACTTCCTTAATTCATTGTTTCAATATTTTCCGTCCAACTTTTTTCTTGCACGCTACCTTTCAGAAATCACCATTTCGTCCATGAATATAATTAATTATTTCCATATTTCAGTATTTTCTGTCCAACATTTTTCTTGCATGCTGCCTTTCAGAAATCAATCATCATTTCTTCCGTCCAACATTGTCCGTCACATTCGATCATTGTGGGTGGTGGTGACGTTGCGTGGTTTGAGATGGATCGAGGATCTTGGAATAAAGAGTTGTAATTTCGAATAGTTTTTGATAATTATCTTACACTGTCCTTGTCATTATTTGGGGCATGATAATTATACAGTAAACATGATTATGTTCTCAGAGTTTATTTATTACAAAACCGTGTGTTGCCTAGATCTTTAGACATCTAAAACACAACGAAATAATTATAAACTGCCCAAAACAGCTTAATAAGTGATACCTTTAAGGACAATATCAGTTTCGGCAGGTTTTACATAAATGAATGAATGGTGAAGCTCTTAATTGATGAGTCCTCTGAAGACAAAGGGTGTTTTAAATGAAAATGTTACAACCCTATTATGTTCTTGAGAAGAAATGGTTATCCCGAGGTGAGAAAAACGAGAAGTCTACATGTGCATCTCCGACTTTGTTGTTTTGTATCATAATTGGCACGGTTTTCAAAATGAGAAAACATCCGAAACAATCTTTGAAAAAAAAAGCAAATATTTTATCATTATCTTCCACCGGGGAAACATAAAAGGACGTTTGTTGTTTGAAACGTTTCCGCTCCTGTTGCGTGGCAACCATAAACATCAAGAAATTAGAAAAATCTTAGTAGATAGAAATATGCGAGTGAATGAACGCCTGTAATGATTAATTATGTGTGTGTCGATTGCCCACTAATTCACACCATAAGCCTACATCGTATCGTAGTATTTACCGACGTGATTTCCCCTTGTCAGTGGTGCAGAACGGAGGGCCTGGCAAGGACAGCTGTCTAGTCCTTCGGATGATACGAAAAACCGAGGTCCCGTGTATACATTGTAATGCACGTAAAGGAGCCCTTGGCAGTTGGAATTCGATATAAGAGTAGGCGATAGTGCCGCTGCCCGGGCAAAATTTCCCTCATAGCATACTGTATGGCGTATGCCCGTCTTCATTAACCCAGTATAGGAGCAGGACAGTAGGACGTTAAACCCCTGTCCTGTATCTCTCCGTAGGAAATAACAGCGCATGAAACCGACTTACCAACATATTAAACACATCCTTGTCGTGTTATTGTTATCGATCATGCCACGAAATAAAAGTGCCCAGTCCACCTATTGTTAGGTTGCCCTCTGTTCATCGAAGGGGGTTGGATGGCTGAATGGTTAGCACATGCGCGCTGTATCATAAATCTGTCATTTATTCATCTGGCGTGCTTTCGATTCTCCGGTTGTACGTGACAAGGAGTAGGGTCGCCTGTTCAGCCTCGTGGGTTTTCTCCCGTTCCCTCGCTTTCCTCCCACTGATAAGGACCCCTACGCGCAAGCGAATTATTGTAATAAAAACTGAACCATGTGTTAGTCCCTAAATGACCAAGTTTGTGTCGAATGGAAGTTAAACTCCATCTCTCTCTCTCTCTCTCTCTCTCTCTCTCTCTCGCTGTTCATCGAAAACATAAGGTCAAACCAGTACATGCAAGTGAAAGAAGTTTTCCATCTATTCCTATCAGCATGTAAGATGCCCATCACGCTTCAAACAAAAACTTCACAAAGCCGCATTAGGTAAAGCTGAAAACATCAAAAGAAATAAGGTAGAAATTATTACATGTCTGTCTTTGTTTCATAATCCTTACATGTTTTTACTCTCTAAGATTCAATTAATCTTTCAACAGATATCGATTGACAACAATATTTTGTCTCTTAACATACATGCTACAATTAAAAAAATCATTATGTAAGATTTAGATAAAGAGCTTGTCCTTCTTACAATAACAGTTCAAAGATAGTTAATGCAAAATGAATTGAAAATTTCATTCAAATTACTTTATTCTGAGTGACGATAGGGGGTCACAGTGGCTAAGTGGGTGAGACGCTGGCTCGCTATAGCCTGAGGTCGGGTGTTCGATCCCTGCATTGGCTGAGAAAGTTCATCCAGATTGTCCGGCGTGGTTCCCCCTTGTCAGTGATGCAGGACGCGGGGGGGGGGGGGGGCGGGGCTGACAAGGACAGCTGTCTAGTCGTTCGGATGCGACTAAAATCTTTGGCGTGAACGTAAAAGATCCACTGACAGTTCGAGTTCGAATTCGATATAAGAGTAGGCCGTAGTGTCGTAGTGAGGCTGTCCGGGCGTATGCCCGTCTTCATTAGCCCAGTTCAGAGCAGAACAGTAGGAGTTAAACCCCATTTCTGAGCGAAAATGTGTGCACTGATTGTTACCACCGTTGTAGCCTGGCTTTGCCATTTTTGAATTAAATCCAAGTTAATTCTGGCGGACGTTAAAAAAAGCTATCACACCCACACACCCAACCACGCACGGCCAAGACCTAATATATAGGAGTAGGTGGACATAGCCCGTTTACGTAGTTGTAGTATATCCAAGACCTTTTTGTTGGCATCGGCGGAAGCGGACGTTAAATAAATCTATTACGCATGCACAAACACTTACGACCGAGACCCAGTAATATACGAGTAGGTGGACACATCCCTTTGGTACTGTTCACGTAGTAAACACTTTTGAAATTACATTGACATTTGGATTTAGTGTTGGCATTGTGTGAATTGTTCTCTTTAAGTGCCTGGCCTTTTGTGTGCGGTTTCCCTGTATTATTGAAAGACAAGCAAAATATTGAAATGATTTTCTTATTGTCTAACTCCTTTCTATTTAAGTGGTTTCTCTTAATTTTATTGATTTTTGATTTTGAACAAAAATTATGCACTGTTATGGGTATTGTTAGTTTATTGAATGTTCGATTGTGAACAAAAAATCCCGGGAAGTTGTACACAAGTATAACACTATAGTCTTTAATGACATAACCGTTACACCTAGCAACGACCATTATTTATGGTTGTCATGCAACTTATGGCTTCCAGTAATCAGATTAGTAGAGAAATGATTTACATGATGCGAAATCCATTTCTATCAAGTCCATGATATCACGCATTAACACCATTAATGTCTTGATTATAAACAACATTTAGTTTAGACCGAAATATAAGTAAAAGAAATCTACATCCTTGTTCTCCGCTTGTCGATAAAAAACAGAACATTCATTTCTGAAGATTAGAACCTCACAGGTCTGGGATATTGATAAGGGCGGTGATTGGGAGTAGTGCTCCCTGTAGGTTAAAAAGCGCGCTTTAGATCATAAGGTCGCTCAGTGAGAGAGAGAGAGAGAGAGAGAGAGAGAGAGAGAGAGAGAGAGAGTTTAACGTCAACTCGACAAAAACTAGGTCATTTCGGGACTAACATATGGTTTTAATTTTATTTCAAAAATTCGCTTGCGCGTAGGGGTCTTTAACAGTGGGAGGAAACCGGAAGACCTGGAGAAAACCCAACAAAGTTCAGTATTGTGAATGTTTCTATGAATGCAATGCCTTTAAGAGAAAACAAATTCATTTCAATGTTTTCTTTAAACAAATATATCAGTAATGGAGGATCTAATAACATGGAGTAATGATGGATCTGTAATATTGTCGATAAATGTTGAGGGCAACTTCGCTAGCAACAATATAAAATTCGAGACTTTCCTGACGTTTCTTTGGGGCAATCAACATTCCAGTGATATAATATAATATGATACCCAGTATTCAATAGGTTCCAATCAACAGCGGGTCGGTTATGTCTTTTCACGTAAATGGATCATTTGTAGATATAGATCATCCTCGGTCCATTCCAACAATTGGTCGAATTGAGCAGCAGTCTTGAAATGCTCTAAAACGTTTATATGGAATAACAATTACTGGTTTATTCACACACAGCCTTCGTTTGTCCGACGGTAGTCAGCATTAATACATGTAAAGACAAGAGAGCCTTTGTCGAATCACTGCAAGCTTATACACTTGGAATTATAAACCATATAATATTCCCGTGTTTACTTCGAACGTTTCTCTTAGTGTTCGTTTGTTTTCATTTTGAGTGACGCTTGTATCTCTACGGACCCGCTACTGTGCAGCTCAGTGGGCGCTCAGCTAGTCCATAGATACATTCACTCGATCTGATATTGGAGAAAAAACACTAAAAATTAAATTTTTGGCTAGTACATGTACTTTCATCGTTATCAAACGAATCGTCAGGCCATTTTAATGCGTTACTATGCTGTTACAATAACGTTACGTCATAACAGAGGAAAATGACTATTTAAAATTTAAGAACTAAAACGAAATAACATTAATTAAACATCAAACATAATTAAAATAATCACCCCTTAGTATTCAAAATTGGGTTATATTTAGCGATAAATTTGTTTTCTTTTGTATCCAAGAGACCATTATCATTAATATTGAGCTTGTACAAAGGAAAAATCTTGAATTGACCTTTACCACAACTATCCAAATGTTCGCTCACATATATATTTACATTTATTGTTTATTTTTGTAAATGTGTTGATATTGTGTGTTGTGTCCGTGGGGTTGTCTTGTGTAATTGTTGATGTGTGTATTCCTCCTCCTACACTTACTATTATAACTGACCATAGTTAATTTTGATTTTATCTCAGAGTTATCTATTATAAATTCAGTTTCTGATTTGATAAAACATAATTAGTGGGTGGT